TATGCTTTCTTTGTTTTTCCCTTTATTAATGTAATTTCAGATACATCTGCAACTACAATATAAAGCTGTTTTTAAACTGTGCAGTGAGTAAAATATCCTGTTTTTTATGTGGAATATTGCGCAGCTTTACCTTATATCTATCAGCCCCTTTAACATCTGCTTTTGTGACCTTTTTAAAGAGGGGTTTTAATTATAATGGATGTTGGACCTGCATAATATTCTTTGGTGTTCCAATAGCCATATTGACTAAGCTTTTGCATCTCCATAAATTCCAATTGACATATTGCTACTTCAGTTGGTGACATGCCAGTCCTATATGAGCAAACAATATAGTAGAAGTTTATTCTTCTTTGAAATGCCTGTCAAGTGCTGGGTACCCCTAAATCTATTACTTTCGATTTCACTGATCACACGTTCGGGCTTACACTGCTCAGTTGTCAAGCTCCAAAATATATCAATGTGCTGTGCACTAGACAGACAGTAGCAATAATTGTGCACTTTTATTACATCCTAAACGATTTTTTGTTTTGGGTAGAGTATGAAAAGCTGCCTGTGCCCCTAAAAGTCTCCATTCACACTTTTCATGTGTTTCTTTTTTTGTTGCCCATTTGTGTTTTAATGCATTTTTCATGTATTTTCAAACAAATATTTGTTTTGGCCAATGAATGTGAAATAATATTTAGAGGGTGAGGGCTTGGCATGCACACAAAAATGCCTGTTACATGTATTTTTCATGCGCTCGCATTGAAGTATATGGAGCTAAAAATGCACTGTGTAGCACCAAAAGAAGCCCCCCACCTTCTGCAAAGTTGCACCGATGTGCATAGGTGTGAATAGGCCCCATAGACAATAATAGGATTTCATTTGTCGTGCTTTGTACGTGAAAGCTGAAGCAATTCAAATCGCACAGTTGTGAACGGGGACAGTGACAGGTGGGAAGATGTTAGAGGTAGTAAATACAGGGAACTATCTCCAATGAGTACAGAGACCACACCAGAAATACTGTTTTTAGACAATTGGCAAGAGGCTAGTACCTCTGTGAGGTTTTTATTGTACTGTACTATCTTGCCTTAGTGACTCCCCTCATTTTTTGTCCTGGTGTCACAGGGATAAAGAGTGAAGGGAAGTCTCCCAGTGTAGATACAGGCATCAATAAAACGTGACCCTTACCCATTCTTTTTAAAACTTAGAACAAAAGTTTTGGCTGGAGTTGGATTTTAAAGGTAACCCATCACCATAAAACATGTACTAATGTGTTTTACTGCACCTCAGGGTGCCTGCCTTCTTCAAAAAGTGCTTCTATGTGTCCTAATGATGCTGAAACCTATTGCTATAGGTCTGATACACTAAAGATTGTTAAGGAATTCATTACATGAGGTCAAGTTTTCAGTGTAGTTGCTTCTTATTTTTGTCACTATTCATGCCCTTTTCATGCATGGTTTAGTACAAACAAATTTCATGATGCACAAAAAGGAATTCTGTGTGGGAAAAAATGCAAAACTTACTTTTTTAGCAAAAAATACTATTTCTATGTAACAAAAAGTGCAGAATAAACTGACAGGAAATTTAATTTCATGGCCAAGTGACATTATCGTATAAATGACAACCAGCAAAGTGCTAGGGCAATCAGAAGCTAAGCACTCTCTGTGAGATCTGCAGACTATATCCAGCCAAATCTTTTTCAGAAGCACCAACACTCTCCTGTAGGAGTAAACCCCAAACAGCAGGTCAGTGATAATGATACTACTGTGCCTGATTTTGATCTCACAACTCCTTGGCCTTACATAAAAGATTTATAACTTCCTCTCCTCTAAGTTAGAGAATGCTCTCCTCATAGGAAAGGGTATACCCTGTTTAATCCTACTCTGATGGGCATCATGTCGGGCATCATCATGAACGCCATCTGCAGCTTAAGGCATGATGTTCCTCACTGCACGTTTCTTAAAGAAACTTCTACTGCAACCAGATTAGTTTATAAATATACTTCAATCCAAAAGATCATTTTCAATTCCCTAAACAGTGAGGGGTTCAATCAGCAAATTGAGGGGCATACAATAAATCTCAGCTCTAGATGTACATGTGCTAGGCAGAAAGAAACATGTTTAATATGTCTGTGAGTGCATTAGCTGGTCATTCTAAGGGCTTTTGAACTAATTTAGTTTACTCGATGATGGCAAGATTGAATGTTCTATTGATGGATTTTGAATGAACGTTTGAACTAAACTCTAACAGTGCAAACCTTGGTTTTCCTAACATATGTAACCCTGAATTCTGCCTCTTGGGTCTGTTTGATGAGCTGCCGTTGACCTCGGGTGCTCAGTCATTACTTCGCCTGCTTTTATTTTATACCAAAAAGCCTATTCTCCTAGTGTGGGGTACCCCTAAGGCCCCCTCCCCAGGTGACTGGAAACGGTTGATGGTGGATCAGGCACTGCCCTTCTACAAGCTTACATATGAGCAACGGGGTAACCCGCTCCACTTCACTCACATTTGGGGCCCCTGGCTCTCTTCTGCCAACACAAATGTAGACTTTGTTTAAATAACCTCACTGCTCCGTGTCATACTGGAGCTTTTGGCATCCTTAGCACTTCCTGAATTGCTTCCTAAACACTTACTATGCCTACCGATACTTGGGTACTGAGTATATATTTAACTGGTAATTCATAATCTCTGCTCTGGAGTTGTAAACTTAATATGTATGTACATGACATCTGTGTGACAACTATTACTGGATTTTGTTAGCCCAGTGTCTGGATTAAATTTTTTATTGTTTTTTATTTCATGTTGTGTATAAGTGTATAACCCCTGAAAATACCAATAAAAGGCATCTTAAAAAAACCTCTAACAGTGCATGACCAGTTTTAGCTCTAAATTATATTCTGCATACTGCATCCTCAAGTCCCAGACACACAAAGCAGCTATTTTTAAATGAAAGACAGGTACCCCAAGTTGCAACGGCAAGAACACACACTGATGCATTTTAAGTCCAACCAAATAACGTTTTATACCTTGATATTTATCCAGACAGTAATCATCTAAACACTGTCATACTGAACTTTCACAATCTTTCCTTGATGTGTTTCCAGGGATAAAAAACTTAGCAGTGTATGTATTTTTTGTTTTCATAGGCAAGAGGAATAAAAATATTCAAATTATTTTACCTTCACATGAAAATTAACAGATCAATTTTGCTTTCTGTGTACCTATGGCATGTTCTGCAATGAAATGATATCTTAAACTGTATTCAAAGCAAAAACTTTTTTGGTTTTGAATACAGTGTGACAGTGTTAAAACTATTGTCAGGTTTTTATTGCTGTGTGTGTGGCCACTGGGTAGATTCACCCACTTTATTCATCCTGGTGATTAATGTCTTCAGTACAAGTGATGGGGAATCCAAAAGTTTTGTGTTTTCACAGGAACAGGAAGTGAGGGGAAATCTACCAATGACAACTGTCTAAGAGAGGTTTTCCTCTCAATTTGCAGAGCTCTCCTCTTACTCGCTTACTTGCTGTTGTAGGAAAAAACAGGACACAGACAGCAAAAAAAAAAGTGTTAACCATTCTCTACTATACATTTAAAACTAAAAAACATTGTTTTGGCTCTACATATACTTTAAATACTTTCTGATTATCAACCTGGAATATTATATAGATTAGTAGTTCTGACTTCCCTTGGTCAGTGATATAGAAAGTATTGAGGCCATTGGATCAGTAGGATAGGCAAGCAATTAGCATTTCAGAAGGAGAACAGCAGTGCAGCCTACATAGGTATTTCTCTCAGAACTGGATTAATTTAACCCTTTTTTCTGTCAGTCTCCATTCTCCACTTTTGACCTTATGTGGCCAGACCATTTTTTTTTCCTTTTTTTAAAAAATTGTTTGCTGATACCTTTCATAGCTGGCAAAAGACCCTCCAAACCACACATTTTCTGAAAGCACAGAACCAATAATATATATATATATATACAAATCATTGGATGCAGGTGTTCCAATTACCACTATGGCCACAGCATCTAGGCATGCAGACTGCTTCTACAAACTCCTACAAGCTCCTGAGAGCGACCCATTCTTTCACAAATGTTTAGTATCAATGAAATTTCACGGATGGACTTATTGCACAGATGGCAACGGTACCACGCTCCGCCTGTGCAGTAAGTCCATCCGTGAAATTTCATTGATATTAAATACTCCATGGCCAACTGTTAGTGGTATTTTAACAAAGTGGAAGCAACTGGGAACAACAGCAACTCAGCCATAAAGTGGTAGGCCGCGTAAAATTACAGAGCTGGGTCAACGCATGAAGAGCACAGTGTGCAGAAGTCGCCAACTGTGCAGAGTCAATAGCCACAGACCTCCAAACTTCGTGTGGTCTTCAGATTTGCACAAAAACAGTGCGTAGAGAGCTTCAAGAAATGGGTTTCCATAGCCGAGCAGCTGCATCCAAGCCTTACATCACCAAGTGCAATGCAAAGCGTCAGATGCAGTGGTGTAAACCACGCCGCCACTAGACTCTAGAGAAGTGGAGACGTGTTCTCTGGAGTGACGAATCACGCTTCTCTGTCTGGCAATCCAATGGACATGTCTGGGTTTGGCGGTTGCCAGGAGAACGGTACTTGCCTGACTGCATTGTGCCAAGGAAAAAGTTTGGTGAAGGGGGATTATGGTGTGGGGTTGTCTTTCAGGGGTTGGGCTTGGCCCCTTGTTCCAGTGAAGGGAAATCTTAAGGCATCAGCATACGAAGACATTCTGGACAATTTCATGCTCCCAACTTTGTGGGAACAGTATTGAGATGGCCCCTTCCTGTTCCAACATGACTGTGCACCAGTGCACAAAGCAAGGTCCATAAAGACATGGATGAGCAAGTTTGGGGTGGAGAAACTTGACAGGCCTGCACAGAGTTCTGACCTCAACCGGACAGAACACCTTTGGGTTGAATTAGAACAGAGACAACAATTATGACAAATCACGGCTTGAATTATCTTGCTTTGCATGTAATGAGTCTATCTCATATATTAGTTTCACCTTTTAAGTTGCATTAGTGAAATAAATGAACTTTGCACGATATTCTAATTATTCGAGTTTCACCTGTATATATATAAAATAAAACTGTAATTAGTTAATTAATAACAAGTTAATACAAATTAAAATTGTGCCTTTTTGTGAATTAGTGAAAATTAAAGGCAAGAAAAACTGTCAAAAAGCAACTTATACTAAAAATCTGGAGGTTGGTCTCACATCTGTGTGTTGTGATAATGCCCAAGCTGCAGTGCCGTGTGTGCACTGCATTGGTGTGCTTTACAATAAAATGAATTAGGGATACAGTTTAATAGTTACATAGTGTGTTACAAAGCACATCAATGTGTTGCAATGCGCTGCCGTGCATAGAGTCGAGTACAGTTTGAAAAGTAAAAATAAATCAAATACTGTTATGTGTTGTAACACACTGCCGCGCATGCACACAACGTACACAAGCATGCATGCCTTATGCATTATAATGTGCACCGGTGGGTGATTTGGAATCAGTGACAGATATTAATTTACTCAAAAGAGTTTAGAGAAAGGAATAATGCTAACAATACTATGAGGGTTATTCACAAAGCTAGCCGAAGGATCAGCCATAGCTCCGGCTGATCCTACGGCTAGCTTAGTCGAACCGAAGGGTTTCTTCTATTCACTATAGCCCGTACAGCTCCCGAAGCTGGCCGAGCGGCTCAGCCGAGCACAAGGCATATGCTTCGGCTCGACTGGGCCGAAGTGAAACCCGAAGCGTGCCGATCTCTGCCCAACTGACAGCTGGGCAGAGCCAGCCGTGATCTCAGGTTAACTGGGGACGCTTACTGTCATTAAACAATGACAAATGACAGTTGTTATTCATTGGCTGTGACTTGCTAGAAGACTCTAGCAGGTCCCGGCCAAAAGGAAACAGTTGGGTGGAGCTAGCTGTCACTGCTAGCTCTGCCCAATTGATTCTTTCTTTTTTGTATTTTTTTCAATGATCTGTATTTTTATTTTATTTATTTTATTTCATTTTTTCAATTATCTTTATTTTTTCAATGATCTTTATTTTTTGGGGGAAATCTTTATTTATTTTTTAAGATTTATCATTGATTTACCTTTTTAAACATTTTATTTCTACTTTTTTTTCTTCTACTTTTTACACTGATTTTCTATTATGCTCGGTACCACTTTCTCAAGTCTTTAGGTAATTCAACCTCATAGAAGCTTTGAATAGTTAAATATCAATTTCATGTAAAATAATTTTAATTTCACGCCTATGTAAGATATTTGTTTGTGAGTTGAACAATATCATATGGAAATTAACATTATTTAAATAATTTGTGCAGCTCAGTGCATAGACTCTAATGTGCTATTTAAACAGTGGACATTTCTTTACCTTGATGAGTAAAGCTAAGCTTTAAATATGTACATAGCAGTTTGCGTTATTATTTTAAAACAATATTAATACTATATTACTGTAAAAATATAAATGATCTAGAGCTTCTGTATTAAGATTGATTATTATTTAATATTAGTGTGCCAATCAAACATCTGCTTCATGCAGTTTAGTTTGACTAGTGAAGAACAATAACTGATTGGTTGCTCTGTCTACTATACAGTATTACACTTTAATTTTAAATGTTTTGTTTATTATACGGTAGTTTATTACAATAAATGACATACCCTTTATTGTTGTTATCTTATCTATGAAGTTACCTAGCTGTTTTTATTTCACATACAATAACCAGATGTGTTTTCTTTTTTTTTTTAAGGAGAATGTTTCCAGTTTTAAAAGTAAGTGTTACTGGCCTAGATCCAAATGCTATGTATTCATTGTTGATGGACTTCGTAACTGCAGATAACAATCGATGGAAGTATGTGAATGGAGAATGGGTGCCAGGGGGCAAACCTGAACCACAGGTTCCTAGCTGTGTCTATATACACCCAGACTCTCCTAATTTTGGAGCCCATTGGATGAAAGCCCCGGTTTCCTTCAGCAAGGTCAAACTCACCAATAAAATGAATGGAGAAGGACAGGTAACATTTTACATTTACCTATTTGTGTGTTTGTGTTTAATGCCAATTTTTTTTAATCCTATATACAGGTGAAACTCGAATAATTAGAATATCGTGCAAAGTTCATTTATTTCACTAATGCAACTTAAAAGGTGAAACTAATATATGAGATAGACTCATTACATGCAAAGCAAGATAATTCAAGCCGTGATTTGTCATAATTGTGATGATTATGGCTTACAGCTCATGAAAACCCCAAGAACCCCAAATCCACAACCTCAAAAAAGAAGATTATTACATGCAATCAATAAAACAAGGATTGTACATAGAACAATATCGGACCTCTGAAAAGTACAAGCCTGCATATGTACTCAGTACTTGGTTTGGGCCCCTTTTGCAGAACTTACTGCAATTACTTTTGCACGATATTCTAATTATTCGAGTTTCACCTGTATATTAAAAGTAAGCCTAAATAATTATTATTTATTATATTAGGACATCAACATATGTCCCAATTTATAACAGAATGTAATTATAAAATTAATGTTTAGATTAAATTTTTTTCTTTAATATACTGTTTTCTAAAAATCACTAATTAAAATGTGACTAATCACCTGTGTAAATATGAAATGGAATATAAAAGGAGCTACAATTTGCTTTCTTGTAGTCGGATACTGCATTAGAAGAGACTGTATATGCAAAAGAAACTTAGCTTACATGCTATGTATGCTCTATAGCACTAACCTTGTCCATTCATAAATTATTGCTTCAAACAGTAACACATTGACATACAAATGGCAAATTAGGGCTAATTAAATGTTCTTAAATCATTCTGTAGGTTACAATTTAATTAGTTATATTTTTCTTTAGATCATGTTAAACTCTTTACATAAATATGAGCCCAGGATTCATATAGTACGTGTTGGTGGACCGCAGAAAATGATCACCAGTCATTCATTCCCAGAAACACAGTTTATAGCTGTCACCGCTTACCAGAATGAGGAGGTATGGGTCACATTGTCTTATATGTCACTAGTGTGTTTTAATAAACAGCATTAGGGGTATCCAATGCATTTTGTTTAATAATCAAAGTAAACATTTACATGAATGCTTACTTCTGCATTTTTTCTAAGGGTTTTACCTAATTAAAGTTTGTGTTAATAATACAGCTAAGATAATTTTAAAAAATGTGTGCATGTAGATAAAACAGAATGTCAGCATTCATGAAGAGGAGGAGACTGATGGTCATCAGTGGGGGGAGATGGTTATGGAGTGGAGTAGGGCTGGTAGTCAGAATTTTGGGACTGAGTGGGGGGTGGATGTCACTGTAGTAGTAGTGTGGGTGTATGTGGGTTTCTGAGTGCCACGCTAGCTAAAACAAGTGTCCATCAGTCTAGGAGGTATTGAAGATAGAACATCTTTCTTGGGTGATGTGGCAAGGAGTGTGTTAATCTTGGGGAAATCAAAGTTGCTATAAGTTGAGCGGAAAAGGTAGTTATCAATATATCTGTAATTGTTTTTATGTTTATTGCAAGTCTTGCCCATTGCTAGAATAATGGCTGCACCATCATAACAAAGATGGGGGTTGCATAAATGAAAAAGTACAATGTAGGATGTTATGCATAACATGGACCACATATAGCATTGGAATGGAAACAACATGGCTACATATGGTGGCAGCCCTGTCATACGTCAGTTGACATCGCAGGTGAGAGTAATGGGTCATGTCACTTGTGTGTTCTTAAGCAGAAATTATGTCAGCAAACGTGGATATTTAGGCAATTAAATATCTCTGGCTTATATTTAAGAAAAAGAATGCTGGCTTATATTTAAGAAAAAGAATGCAGGAAAATGAACTGAAACATCACTTTAACAAAGAGCAAACACATTAGCAATATAAAATCAGATGGAGGACAATAAATGGAATTCTGGGAATAGTGGTACAGAACAGGGTACTGCCTTCCACTTCCGGATGCTCAGTATGGAATACATTGCCTAGTATATACCAGTAGTGGGATTATGATTTTTAGAAACCTTACTTCTATTCACTCATGTATCATAAGTGAGTAAGTATCATACATGGTTAACTTGATATTTTATAAACACTTTTGTAATTGCATGTTTTCACTTTTGGGAAAACTGCCAGAAGCATGGTATGCCATTACTCAGCCAGTTTTCATTTTGACGTAGTAGTTTATGGGAAGCTATGCCTATAATCCTCACCTACCCATGAAAATTCACATGTATGTGCTGGTCTCTTGGTACACAAACCAAAACAGAATATCTCCATAATAATATTTCCCCAGACATGAGAAGCATTTATTATAGCTCTTTACCCATTCCTAGCTCTCTTTCAAACCCTTAGGGTTGCAAGTGAATGATTGTATTATACGGGGTACTACAGTACTTAATACAGCACAAGTATTATTTTGATAAATAAATAAAAGCAACGTGAAACGCTTAGCCACAAAAGAGATATTAGAAATGCCTAGAATTGTTTCTTGTGAAAAAAATTTCATATCTATGCGGGGAGGGGGTTTGGATCATTGTAATTTCTCATCTTCGAATGTTGTAAGATATGCTATGTCTAGTTTATAACGTATACTGTATATTATGTTCTAGCATATGAAAAAGTATAGATAGTGAATATATTGGTTAAATACAAAGCTGGAATTCGTCATCTAACCGCCTCCCGGCCGGCCGTTGTACGAAAGCGGCCAGCCAGGAGCTTCCTGGATCTGACCGGCCATTTAAAAAGGTCCTGTTAGCCACACCCACTCATGTGTGGCGCACGCAAGCAGGAAATTGTCTAAATTTAAAAACAGGCAGTGATGCCGGTTTACATACAAGCGATCCGCCGGCTATAGAGCCGGCAGATCGCTTGTATAACGTGCCGTTCTCTCCCTCCCGCTGTTCCCGAGCTCAGCTGTGCCCGGTGTGAGCCCGGGACCAGCACGGTGGCTCTGTGACGGGATCAGAGGTAGATCGGTACACAATCTCCCTCGAATCCCCTATCCAGTGTCAGAATGCAGAAGTGATGTATATTAGGGATGCACAGATACTTTTCGAGTACCAGTGCAGATACTTGGCATTTTCATGAGAACTAGTATGGTTGCAGCGGTTGCAGCTGGGACCTAGTTTTGCGCTCCACCACTGTCCTGAAATCATTAGTATCTATTGTTTTAGAAAAACTGTCACATGACAATAAACAAAAATGTATCAGTACTCGTACTTGTACCGAGTACTGTACTTGGTATCTGTGCAACCCTAATGTATATTACATAACTTGATGGACCTGTGTCTTTATTCAACCTTAAATACTATGTAACTATGTAACATCACCTCCGCATTCTGCTGTCACTCTCCAGCTTCAGAAGCTGATGAAGCAGATCTCTGCTTCATCAGCTTCTTTGGGGGTCCCTAGGTGACATTAGGGGTCTTGGAGACCCCTGATGCCTCCATAAAAAGGACCTGTCACATCCTCTTTGCTTTCACATCTGGGGTTTCTTAGCCCCCTATGTGGTAACAATAAAGTTAAGTGGAAAAAAATAGGGAAAAAAAATTGAAGTTGCAAAAAATAAAATTAAAGTCACACATGAAAAAGAATTAAAAAACACCAAACATTTTTTAAAGTCCCCACCCATACATACACGCATGCAAACATGCAGCGGATGTGCATACGTTCCGAAAACGACGATTGTGCCCATTTTGCTGCACATGTTACATATCGCGGCGTAGTGAGAGCAATAATTCTAGGACCAATCACTGATAGCACTAAACTGATGAGCGGTAAAAGCTGGGTAATAATGTTTAAAAAAAGAAATTCCCAAAATGTTCAGTAATCTACAAAGTACCGCAGCGCTGAATACTGAAAAATGGCCTGGATGGGAAGGGGGTTTAACACCGCGGATGTCAACTGGTTAATTAGCCCCCGTAAGTGATAGCGATAAAGTTTAGTGAAAAAAAAAAGGAAAAAAAAATTTAAGTCCCCCCCAAATTTAAAGTTACACATAAAAAAGAATAAAAAACAAAACAAAAATGTAAAGTCCCCACCACAAAGTCAGTCAAAATACCGCAGCGCTGAATACTGAAAAATGGCCTGGCCAGGAAGGGGGGTGTAAACATCTGGTCTTCAAGTGATTAAAAATCCTTTGGATGTTTACAATGTAATTCTTTTACTTTTTTTCAGATCACTGCTCTTAAAATTAAGCACAATCCGTTTGCCAAAGCCTTTCTTGATGCAAAAGAGAGGTAATATATAAAAACATATCCTTTTTTTAAGCCTAAGTACAACTGTGTTTTTATTTAATTAGTTGCATCTAAAAAAGCTTATTTCAAAAATGAAGAAAGAAGAGAAATTAAAATACATGTGAAATAGCTTTCTATATTTTCAGCTCTGAGCTACAAAAATATATTTTGTGTTTGACAGGAGTGACCATAAAGACTTCATGGATGAAGTGGAAAACCATCAGCAAGCTGGTTTCTCACAATGTAAGTGGTTACTGTGAAAAAACAAGTTATTTTGCAATTTTATAACACTTTCAATCATAGGCGGTTATACATAAAATAGTAAATCACATTTAATAATTTATGTGGAGTGGTGGCCAGTGGAATTTATATGGCTAGCACTAGCACTAGCACATATGATCAGAGCAGTGATGTTCATGAAAATCAATCCATATTCAATTAAAGATCACTGGTAGTGTTGAGCACTATTACATTTTGTATGATCATTTTGGATTTTGTTTATTTAGGCTTTTTTTCTGTGAGATACATAAATCTTTCCTTAAAGTGAACATGTACACTGAACAATGTACAATGAAAACAGTTGCAACCGAATAAAAACCAGGGTTAAACTCAAGGCATAAACCAATTAGACATATTCAAACATAGCTATTGTGGATAAAATATAATATAAGTCCAATCCCTACGCATTTCACAACTTAGCTTCTTCAGGGAATTGCAACCTACCCACCCAATTGGAGTGGCTTACTGGAGATCAGGTTCTCTGTGTGGAGATTAGGTGGAGAAGGGATCCTCCAAGGAGGGCAGGGGAGATTACTCCGTTCAGTTAGCTATATCCCTATATGGAGAAGACCTCTGGGCCAATATAAGAAAGAGGAACCACCGGTTCACGCAGGAAAAATTAAATTAAATTAAGCTGTGTTGAATAATAAATTAAATGAATCTGTGTTCACGTTGAGTACCCTATCATATATAATTGTAAAAAGTACACCATACTAATATTTTTTTACAATTTTTTTAGTAAGTAGCTGGCTGATCCCTGGGTCCAGTTCATTGTGTTCCTCTGCTAATCACCATCCTTCATTTGGGACTCCTATATCACTTCCTTCTTCTCATGGCTGTGAAAGATTTACAACATTGAAAAATCATAGAGCTTCACCTTATCCAAGCCCATATGCCCACAGAAACCATTCTCCACGTAAGTAATTCAAAAAAGTAAGTAATTTCAAATACTGTTGTGAGGAAATTGTGTATTGTGAAGTAGCCACCACGCCAAGCTCACTCCAATGATGGACTTCAATCTCATGTTTGGTTTACTAATTTGTATTGAGAGTGAGTTTGGAGAAGTGGCTACGTTACAATACACACAGGGACCATGGGGAACAAAAGTAGCCAAACCTCCAGAAGGAAGGACAGAGTCAGTACATATTCAGAGATCTCTGTGAATAAGCCCAGGTGGTGAGACGCATGAGAGGCATTGGTGTGGGAGAGACTCACCGTGATGTACATGTTGCATATCACACTTTGAAATTCTTTTCTTGGAATTTGTTTGGATTTACTTCAATAAAACTTTGGATTTCACTTACACTGGTTTTGTGCGGCTGATCTTTTGGAGATCGATTTGACAAGTGAGAAGCACACTGCACCCTGCACAGAATCGGAGCAGTGAGTTCACGGAGTTCTTTGAAATTTACATATTTAGAGATAATTTGAGGATCTAAAGTGATACACAAATAAGATACATTTTTCTTAATAGTTAAAGGAGAACTATGAGGTGAGTGCTTTTCACTCACCTCATAGTTCTAGCCGACCTGTGACAATGTGACTGTCACAGGTCGGCTGAGTAGATCGGGAGGTGAGCGAACACATAACGGCGGTCACTCACCTCTCGATCCTGTCACGGATCTCTGCCGTGACAGGGGAGGGGCTGGATTCCCCCCTCTCCGATCCGCCAGCGCTGACTGGCGGAACTGGAGGGGGCGGGTACAGCTGGCTCTGCCTCTAGATAGGCAGAGCCAGCTGTCAGTCACGCAGCTGGGTGGATCCCGGCATAATTGTCGGGATCCGCTTCAGCTGTGGCGTCTCAGTATACTGCGAGCAGCAGCTTGCCGTATACTGCGGCGTCTCGGTATACCGCGAGCTACAGCTCGCGGTATACTGAGCCTAGGGTGACAGGAGGACGCCTGTTTGTGTCCTCCCGTTACCCTAAGGAGAACTATGGGGAAAAGCCTTAACCCCATAGTTCTCCTTTAAGATACTTAAATGCATTTTTAAGATTTAACTCTCGAGTTTTGGGTCAGTTTAAGTTTTACAACTAGATTTTGATGAACATAGCTATGAAGGCGTATATTAGAATTCCAGGCATAAACATCCTAAAATGGCAGTTTATAAGGCTGAAAACAGTGCTGGGGTAAATTTTTCTTTGATGTCTTAAACTTTCCACAGTGGTATAAGATGTGATGGGACTGTTCTCAGAATAAGGTATAGGGTATTTGATCAGTCTCTCCTCTAATGCCCTTTCTGTAGAAGAAAGGAAAGGATTGTATAGAATGAGAGGAACCTATATACAGTATATAAAGAACACCCTTTTCTCTATGCAATTTTGAACTCCCTCTCCTGACAGCTACCAGTAAAAAAACATTTGTGAAGGGAGAGGTAAAAGTATCTGTATAAACCAGATTCACTTGATTATATTAAAAACAACGTTTTTAGTCTTAGAGTAGGGAATGGTTAACGTCCCAGTTAGGTAAACCTTATAGGGGCATCAGTGCTCCCCTGCTCTATTCTCATCTAAAAAAATGTTGCTTTAGATTCAATTTAATACCTTTCATTGCCCAGATTAATTACTAGGTAAGGATTTCCTCATGTGTTGCCCATGGCAGTGACACAAAGATACTAACTAAATACCCCTCGTATAAGCAAAGCTTCAGAAAAGCTTATTTCTAATCCTATGTCAATTTATGATTTTCTTGCAGCAAGTTACACTGAGAATACCTCTGCATGTCTTCCTGTATTCCAATCGAATGATCATTGGCCTGGTTTACAAATGCAAGCACACAGTGCAATGTCATCAATAAATCACACAAGTGGTATTCCGTCCAGTTCTTGGTATGTATTACTATTTATGACAGAGATTATTTATGAAAATAAAAATTCACGGAAGCTTATTTTTTTAGGAACTCTGCATATGATTCGCACTATGCATATGCACTGTTACACTGTAATATTTATAATGGAAGTCTGACTTGAACAACATAATGTGATTTTTTGATTTATCTCCTGAGCCATGGCTATATTTAACAGAATAGCTCTCGTGGATCAGTGTCTTCAGCACCACGGGCACCATGGGGGGAAAGCACCAAGCCTCAAAATGTAAAAGTAGTGAAAACATATTTTTATCTTGTTTTCCTATTCTGGCCACCTGTCAATCTTTGTAGCTACATTCAGCAAGAGGGGGGAGGGGGGACTGCCTTGAGCATACCACTAATTCCTGTATCGTATACCTCTTATACCTTTTATATCTTTTATAAAGAGCAGTCAGTCTAGTGATGCAGTACATTTTCTAACCCTTGGTACCTTAAATCTGATGTGTTGCTATGTGTTGCTATATCTCTGCTTCTCTCTTGTCTTACTTTATCATTTAGACCCTTATATCTAAAATCTAATCTTAAATTGTCACAGATAATCAACTATTTAAGCATATTTGTGAACCTATGCAAATAATATTTTTACATTATATTTTGCAGTCAATATCCAAGTTTATGGTCTGTGAGTAACAGTACCCTTGCACCATTGTCACAAGCTGGCGGGATTGGCGGAGGCCCAGGATCTCAGTACCTGAGAAGCTCTACGGCCCATTATACCCCATACAATCAGATTGTTCCCTCACCTTCTATGGGATCTCCTTTATATGAAGGTGGAAGCACAGACATTGAAGACAACCCATTTGATGTTACAGGACATGACAGGCTAGCACCATCATGGGCACCAGTGACCCCTCCCTCACTATAAAAAAGGGAAAAAATGCGAGGATTGTTTTTCAAGCACACTTCTAAATGCTTAGACATAAACATACAATTACAAACTGCTTTTCAGAAAATGAGCATTTATTCATTTTAAGAAAGGTTTAATGCAATGTTCATTGCCGAAATCTACAAAGAACGTGTCTGCAGGATCCAAATCTTGCAAAAGGTCCACAATGATGGAGTAAAAATATTTTACCTGAATATTTCTAATTATTTACAAATCATTTGACCACATAAATATTTATAAAGAATAAATGCATAATTGAAGAACTGTATATAATAATTTTATTTAATCTATCTGTTCCATCTGAGACACAGCTCTGTGCTCTATAGCAGACTTTGTCTTTACTTTTTAAATTCATGCTATCATTGTAGTGCAAACAGAACCGAAAACTCAGCCATTTTGGTATATTGGTATATTTTGGTATATTTTTTAAATGAAAACTCACAGAAAGCTGTGTAGATACAGCTTTGAATTAGGAGTTATCAACATTACTCTGTGTTTGGACACTGCAAATAATTATTCAAGATGATGGCACAAAGAGCTAATTTCATATTATATTGTAACATGAATTTGAACTCTGAAAGACCCCATAGTAATACTCTATCTCACTGGTGAATTGCTGCATGTTCTTATTTTTTAAATATTTTTTTTCTTTCATAATGTATTCTTTACTGTAAATAAAGTACGTTTGTCAAGATACATAGAAATTGATAAAATAAGTTAATAGGTAATTTATTTATACTGCAGCCATACATACATACATACATACAACATGAATCAAGTATTTCTTTTAGTGGGATGACTTATTAAAAAGAGAAGAATAATCACTTAGCAAAGCAAATCATCCAATCATGCGCAAGTGAATATTCAGTTTTTGGGTTTTTTTCAATTCATCTGCTTATAGTTGGACAATCAAAGTGAACACAAGTGAAGATTTCATGCTCTCTTGGTATGTCATCCCATGATGTATATTTTTCATTTAGCCAAGTGAACCTGTGTTTCCTACAAATATACCCCCTGTGTTTATGTGTTGTTTTCACCTGGCATGGAACTGTGTTTTAATACATATAATGTATTGTGTATGAATATTACATAAAGTAGAAATAAATCAAATGTTTTCATTATATTTAATATTATTATAAAATGAGCATGATGTGACTATGTGTTAGCAAAAAAGTAATTTTTGTATCTGCTTGTCTTATGGCTACCACCGTCTAACGAAGTTCAGAAATACAATGTTCACAAGCAGTACAAGATAGCATCAACTGCCTCAATGTACATATAAAACATAATTTATTAATCTGGTTAATATATGTAAAATATTAAAAATATAAATTATGTGGCCTACTTTTATTGTTAAAAAACTTAAATGATAAACCAATAGATTTTATAAATCCCAAGAGACAAATTCATCACTTGAGAGTAAATACATATTTAAGAGAAGGTCCTTAAAACAAAGTTAAAATATTAGCAGCCAAAAAAATGGGCCTGATTTATTTAAAGTAATATTAAAGTCAAAAGTTTTTTAAGCTGATGCTGATTAAATCACTTACAATGGATGCTGGTTCTTGATGTTTAAATGTTTTAGTTTCCTGCAGAATCAGCTGGTTCCTTGAGCACTGGTCCTGATATCCTGTTTAGGGTGGCTCTTTTCCCTTGCAGCGTCCTATAGAGCCACCTATATGTGCTAGTAAGCTGTGTGTTTCTTCACAAACAGGCATGGCAAGGCAAGCAAATTCCCGCCTCCCTGCTCCCCACTCCTCCCTCTTTTCTCCTCCCTTCTCCATTCTCCAAGCTAGTAGATAGACAGCGGCTGAAGACTGCTCTGTCCCTTGTGATATTGTACTAGACAAGAAGTTCAGAGAAGCAGAGCAGAGAGAGAGTTGGAGCCAGCTGTTCAGAAACAGGATCAATGTAAGCGCTTGGGCAAAAAATGTAAGAAATACTTAAGGAAAGGTTAAGGAAAGGTTTACGCTGCTCGATCGGGCAGAGTAAACCTTTCCGAGAGAAAGTGTTTTTCTCCTGGGCGGCCGGGAGAGTAATGACAGATGGCATCCTTGGTTACCTGGCCATCTGTCATTACACACTTAAAACCCGGAGAGGCCGCTGTGATATCATAGTGGCCCGGGAGGGTTCTCAGTGTGTAATGACAGCGTCCCAGGTTACCTGGTAACCAGGGACGCTGATCTCTCTGAAAGTGACCGGAGCCAGCCGTGAGATGACGGCTGGCTCCGCCCAGCTGTCAGAAGCAGGCTGTTGACCGGCCAATGGCCGGCCATTCGGCCAGCTTCGGCTTTCACCGCGGCTCAGTCGAGCTGAGGCATATGCTATATCTCAAACCGAGGCATATGCCTTCGGCTCGACTGAGCCGCTCGGCCAACTTCGTGAGCTGTACGGGCTATAGTGAATAGCCCGTGCCGCTCGGCCAACTTCGTGAGCTGTACGGGCTATAGTGAATAGCCCGTACAGCCCTTCGGTTCAGTAGAACCGAAGGGGTCCTGGTGCCAAAGCTAGCCGAAGGATCAGCCGGAGCTACGGCTAGATCCTTCAGCAGCTTAGTGAATAGACCCCAGTGTGTTTGTTTGTCTGGGCACGGATCCATGCTGAACTGCAAAGCTGTAGACTGCTAGGAGCCTATTTCTGGACTGCTGCTGAAGAGGAACCCCAAAAGAGGAACAAAGAGGAACATTTCATGGAAAAATGTATTTGTTCAGGGTATGACTAAGTAAGACTCACCTGAACAAAAGCTTGTTTTGCTAGGCATTTACTTTGTGGCTGGATGCCTGTATATGCTTTTTACATAGTTGCATAGTTATTCAGGTTGAAAAAAGACACATGTCCATTGAGTTCAACCTATAGAGATATAAAGAAAAACAGGAAGAAAAGCCTAAACAGAACACTATGCCCACAATTACCCACTGTTACTTTTTTTCTGCTGGAATAAAAAGCTTTTTTGTGTAAGAATTAGCCGTATGTTGCCTTTACATTGAATGTGATCTCCCACACTAGATAGGTCATGGAAAAATCTCATAATGATGCCTGTTTAAAATTTGTGACCTTAGATCAGATCCCATGCCAAGATGAGGACGTAACTGCAAGTGATGGGGCTCAAGTTTGAGCTAATTCAGGTTCAAACCGGAACTCTGGCTGTTTAGCTAACGGCCGAACTAAGTAGGCCGTTTGCCTGTCTGCCAAGGTGAATCTCCAGCTTTAGCGGGAAGTCATACATTTAGTAATCATATTACTACTGCTACTCAGGGGGTCTATTCACGAAGCTGCCGAGGGATCTAGCCGTAGCTTCGGCCGATCCTTCGGCTAGCTTTGGCCCCAGGACCCCTTCGGTTCAGTAGAACCGAAGGGGTGCTGTACGGGCCATTCCCGGCCGCCAAGGAGAGAAACACTGCTGTTTCTTTTTTTTCGCTCCGTGTCTGAATAAAGAAAAAAAAAGAAACAGCAGTGTTTCACCCTGAATGGGAGGAGCCTGAAGGCGAGCTGGCCGTGCACGTCCCCTCCACACAGCGCTGGACCGTGGACGGGTAAGTCTGTTACATTAGTGTAGTGTAGTGCAGTGAAGTGAAAGCTAACTGGTGTCAGTGTAGTGAAGTGTCATTGCTTTATACAGCATTTAATGCTGTATACAGTACTCTGTACTGTATATAGTATTATTTTCTATTCTGTATATTCGCTGTCTTTTTTTTGTGCCAGTGGCGTCACTGTTGTTTTTCTCCTGCATCACCGGTGTTCCCATTTTTTTCTTTTATAATTTTTACTTTTTTTTTCAGCAGCAGGTTCTTTTGCTGCCTCATTGCTGTTCCCCCTTCCGTGTCGCAGGTGTTCCTGTTTTTTTATTTTTTTTATTTTTATTTTGTATTTTTTTTTTATAATAAGCCATTGTACAACAGTTTATAGTTCACCAAGCACCACATTCATAGTTACATAGTTACATAGTTACATAGTTAGTCAGGTTGAAAAAAGACACCAGTCCATTAATTTAATAGATTTGCCTTCTCCTTGTCCCCAGTTACCAACTCTGTGTTATCTTTTAAGGGGCCAACATGCTCTGACCTGTTTTTTTTACTATTAATATATTTAAAGAATTTTTTGGGGTTAGTCTTGCAATCTTTTGCAACCTGTCGATCGTTTTGAATCTTTGCAAGCTTTATTTCCTTTTTACATATTTTATTATATTCTTTGTAGCTTTCAAATGACGACAGTGTTCCTTCATTTTTATATTGTTTAAACGCCCTTTTCTTATTGTTTATGGATTTCAGCCACATCCAATGTTAGCCTTTTAAACTTATTGCTTACTGGAATATATTTTGCTGTATGGTTGCGAACAATTGTTTTGAAACATTCCCATTTTTGTTCAGTGTTTTTTGATGAAAATATTCCCTCCCAGTTTAAGTCTTCAAGAGCAGCCCTCAGCATGGGAAAATTTGCTCTCCTGAAGTTAAGTGTTTTTATTTTTCCAGTATGTGAATGTTGTTTACAACTTAAGTTAAATTAAATCATATTATGGTCACTGCTACCCAGATGTTCTTTTATATGAATATTTGTAATAAGCTCTGCATTGTTTGAGATTACCAAATCCAGCAGAGCATCTTTTCTAGTTGGGGCTTTTACAAACTTCTTCGATAAAGTATTGCACCCAAGCACCAATTACCCATCCCACATTCTCCAAAAAAAAATTATAATAAGCCCCACATCATGTCTGAAAGGCCAACAAGGAGACAGGTGTGTGACAGGTTTATATAATTTAAATTTTTGTAGCAGGGTCCAATCTTGCACTCTTGCAGCCCATTCACAACAGGGCAGCTGCAGATCAGCGCGGTTTCCGCGTTGATTTCAAAAGGGAGATTTTGGGAGTTTTTCATTGCGCTTCAGCACTGAAACGCAATTAAAAACACCCAAAACTGCACGGTTCCATTGAAAGCTCTGTGGAAACCATACTGATCAGTGTGGCAAAAATAGCGCAGGGAGCA